CCACCACCACCACCACCACCACCCTCCCCCTTAGACGTAATAAACGATCAGTCCTAGAAAATTCCGAGAGTCGAAAAAGAGAAAAGCCGTAGAAGACTGGCATATAAACCGCTGCTCGTACAGCACCCAGGCGCGTACCTAAATATCTACCAAGGATRGATGACTTACCTATGATGCCAGCTATAATCCCAGTGAGCATGTCAGAATAAAGACATTGCCTGGAGCCAATAGTAAAGACAAGAACCCAACACAAACACGAGGCACATGCTGACAACTGAGTATTTACCACAGCTAGCCCAACACTAGCGTCCTGGACCATCTGAACTGTACAAACGTTGAAAAGTGACCTAGAAATATCAATCAAACTTTTTTTGATCATCCAGATTCGACCACTCTTTTCTACAATATTTAGGCTCGATTTGGTATGGAATTACTTTGAATATTTATGCATTCCAGTCAAGGTCCGTGGATTTTCAAGGTGTTTGTACTGTTGATGAAGTTGTGCAATCTTCACTTTACCGTTGGTAGCATTYGTGAATATTAATACACCAAGAGAATATGAACTAAGAGAAGGAATCCTACCCATATAGCCTTGTAACCATCATGTGTACAGTTTGATGCTATTTTTAGCTTGGAGATATTTTGAGCGCAGAACCTGATTGGTTGATTTCTTGAGGGTAGGCGGCTTCCAGTCTTGCAGTAAACAAAAGCCTGTTTTTTTTGTCGCTTTTCGTGTCCTAAAGCGACGCATTAAAGAAAGCATGACTATCGCGCGGGCATGGTAACGAGTTAAAAATAGCAACAATGATTCTAAAAATAGTATCAAAGTGTGCACATGATGAGGCACGGGGATTCCTTCTCTTAGTTCATTTTCTCTTGTATACACTGATTCGAGGCTAGCCCTCTATAAACGAGTCTCACATCGATCAAGAAACAGCGGTTTTTGACGAATTCGAAAATGGTCTCTTAAAGGATTTCTCTAGYTTTGAAGCGATGATTTTCCATTTCAGATCACGTGTCATTCCCTCGAGTACCATTTCTTTGTTTGACGGTTTCACATGAGAAGACACATGAATATGGATACAACTCAAACAAAGAATCTTATTCTCTAGAGAATGACACGTGGTCTGAAATGGGTAAATATTACGCCAAAGGTAAAGCAGTCTATTACTGCCCTCCCTCTAAAATAGAGAGCTACTATTCTTGACAAGGCTCAGTTAGGTGTGTAAGTCACTCACCACCCAAAAATAATTATCAACGCACCACCAAGAAACATCACGTGATGATATGCGTCTCCATGGTGATGTGACGTCTTGGAGTTGGCATCATGAGTCGATATGTGAGGTTTTAACATCCTAGTAAATACTACTCCTGCGGTTCCTATGAAATATAAGGCGTGGGAAAATGTTTATGATATGAGGCCAAAAAATTGTCATCTTACCGATTACAACTGTGAGTTAGCCGTGCACTGATTTTGATCAGCCCAGAGGTTGTTCCAGGATTCGATCTGTGAGTAAGCCGTGCACTGACTTTGATCAGCCCAGAGGTTGTTTCAGGATTTTATCTGTGAGTTAGCCATGCACTGACTTTGATCAGTCAAGAGGTTGTTTCAGGATTCGATCTGTGATCAGCCATGCCCTGACTTTGATCAGCCAAGAGGTTGTTTCAGGGTTTGATCTGTGAGTAAGCCTTGCACTGACTTTGATCAGTCAAGAGACTGTTTTGAGGTAATCGATAAAATTTCAAAGTTTGAATCGGTCCCACCAAAATCATACCAAAGAGGGTCTTAGTACTACTCTAGATGAMCACCTACCAGCACTGGTGTGAACTGTTAGACTTCCGGCATAGTCCAGAACATCTAATCGCGTTAACCAGCCTGCACCTCGTATCCAGTGAGATATTGGGTAATAGACTGTAATGGGCCACAGAATAAAAAGAGCCTGTGTAGAATGAATGAGCAGATTATGATGCATGAAAGACATGCTTTAGGACCCAGTTCATTCATAAAGAATTATTGCATATCATTTTCACCGCCAAAGCAGCCATTCACCTTATACACTCGGTTATGTTTTGGGAACACGAGTTTTGCCGAGGATGTGATCGATTAAGCTACCGGACTGAACTGTTATAATGGAGAAACGTCGCCGAAGGGGAGGTGGGTGGGGTCAAAAATCTGTCTAGCACTKACTGGTACATCTAACCTGAGTAAATGAGGTCGAAACCTTGGATTTTCCCGCTTAAATAGGCAACTGCTGACCCGGGGGCATTCATAATGCTTCTCACCTAGGAATCACACCCAGAAAGTCATGATAACATTCCGCGCGTACTTGTTTCAGGGCTGCTTTAGAGGTGAAAATAGCTAGTGATCTTTCCCGGCTTGCGATCGAAGAGATTAGATTCGAGGGAAGGGTCCCATTGAAGTCTCAAGTTTTTGATTCTCTTTAGACCCTAAAGAAACCGCGCTGCCATGACAAAATAGGTGGGCATACAATAACGAAATTTGTTTTGGTTGATTGTTATTTAATTTGCCAACTAGAAAYCTCTTGGACCATACCCTGTACAAAGCGAAAAACCCTATAGACCGCGTTTTCTCAAGGTTGCGTGCGCATCCAAATTTAAGGAACTTGACGGGCCACGATACCAGAACACGAGTATTATCATGCATTGCTATGACTTTTTTTCTATAARAATTCATAAAATCAATTACTCTCCTCTTTAAATATAAAACTGTCTTCTTAATTTCACTGAATTTGCGTYTTACAGTTTTGTAGCCCGKCAAGTTGAATGAAACCTTGAGAAAACGGTCTATTGCAGAAGCGGATCCAGGTGTGGTTCCGTGGGTTYCATTGAACCCTTCTTTTATGAGATCTTGTGAAGTCAATTATGTTCTTAACACTTAATAAAATGAAATTGGAACCCCCCTTTTATGAAGCCAATTTTCCAGCTTTTCAAGCTTGGCAGCCGTTTTGGAACCCCCCTTTTTAAATCCTGGACCTCCACTGTATTTTAAAAATGGTAGGCATGTTACAGTCAAACCAGCTCATAAGTTCCTATCAAGTTTCAAAGATTCGTTTCATTATTGAAAGTTTGATTTCCATCTTGCTTTGAAGCTTGCATTAATGAAACGAACGTCGTGAATTTCAATCCCGGTCTTTGCCTCAAAACATCAAAATGTTCATTTGTGAAAGGATATTTTGAACAAAACATCGCACCAAACAAATAACTTTAAAATGGTGCTACGATTGTTGAAATAATTTTAGCTTTGCACGAATCTGTGAAGAAATAAATAAACGTTTAATCCGAGCCCATTATTCAAATTCGCAACATTCGTTTCATTAATGCAAGCTTCAAAGCAAGATGGAAATCAAACTTCCAATAATGAAATGAATCTTTGAACCTTGATAGGAACGCGTGCCCTGTTTTGACTGTAACACTAATGAAAATGACAATGTTTCTAAACATAACGCCCACTTATATAATGTATCAAAGGGAATAAATGTTTTACACACCATTGAACCAATTATACTGATGTGTTCTGTCCTGAAATGTATTGAATAATGATTAGTAAAACTCAATAATAGATTATCATCATGTGATCCCATATATATAGTAAACATGACACCTACTTTATATGTAAAAGGTTTCATGACCCGATATATATATGGTTTACAGAACCTAATCTACCATGACGCTTTTACCGACGTGAGTGAAAAGCGTTTGCGCATGTTCATAGACTGTTTGCAACTTGTTCAAAATGTCTTCATGCTATTGCAATAGACAAAGGGGTCTGGTGTGATTCAAAGCAATCTGGCGTGATTCAAAAGTCACGAATCACGCCAGATCCCTTTGTTCACAACTTAAGCCTCACATCGGTGCGAGTTATGCATTTGGTCTATAATACGCAAATTTAATATTCAAACGTGCCTGACAAGTCTTTACAAAATGCCTAAATTTGGAGTCAGTTTTTATAGCTTAAGGCTAATTCTTTCATTAAGTCTTTATTAGTACAGTATCTTGGTCTTACAAATAAGGTGGCTCATATGGGACATGCATAAAGTTAGACGAGTTGCTGCAAATAAGGAACGAGTTGGTGCATGTTCAAAGATAAGCATCTAGAGGACCTTATTTCGTTTTCGACGATTTCTCAGCTCGTCTAAAACTGATGCAGCTAACAACTCGTCTAACATGCAGCAACACATTTCTTATTCGCGACAACTCGTTCTTATTTGCATCTTTGAAAAAGGTGCTGAAACTCACGCATGCGCAAACATTTTTCTCTGGTGTCGCTATGACCATATATGGCGGACCTTTACTTACCATGGTGCTATGACCATAAATGGAGCGCACACGGCAATYGTCATTTCAAATGCAGCAAAAAGAACACTGGGCACGTTTTGAGCATGCGTAGAACAGTTAAATGGAGAGACGTCGATAAAAAAGGCCTTGTCGGGATTTCCTATAAAACCCTGGTAACAAAAAATAGAATTGTAGTTTTTGAAAATGTGACACCACAGGAAGCCCATACAAGCTTTGAGAGCTGAAAATAATTTAATGAAAAAAAGAAAAAATAAAAGAAATAAAAGTGAATATTTACTCACATGAGGCGTTGTTGGGGTCATCCTAATTGTATAGTCGTGATTTCGAGCCATTTTAGCGATTTTGTAAAAAAAATTCTTTCCTCTCGACTTTCCTCTCTATATAAGAAGACAAGTCAGCTCTCAAAGCTTGTATGGGCTTCCTGTGGTGACACCACTCATGCAAGGCTTGCACTGTCACCTGGTCTACAACTGAACTTTGAAATCACTGTCTAAAAGGGCTAGTCTAGTGTATCGTGTATCGAATAAAGTCAAAACAGTCAAAGTCAAAGTGTTTTATCACTACCTCTTGTGATGARCCAAATACCAAAGAATATCCAACGCTGTACCACAATAAGGAGCCAAGAGCAATATTGATAAAGGCTTGGAGGAGGATGTTATTTATGGACTTGAGATGCAGAGCACCTGCTTGATAGAGGGCTAATCCTAAAACCTGGAAGAAATCATACAATAGAAAGAAAATGTGTCGAGAGCTTAAACATGACTAATATTTGTGGACCTTAGAACGTCTTCTTGATAGACTGGAAGTCGTAAGTGCACTTTTCTTAGGGCTTCTTGCACTTACTACAACTTTTAAGTTAAAATACATCTATAGTACGTAAGCAAGAAAGGGACATAACTGTGTATGATCTACAACATGGACGTGCTGTTACCGTGCCGTGTCTAAGCATTTTGATTGGATGAACATTTATATCTCTCACGTCGATTGGTTCAACAAATGTTATCAGTTTTTTACCATGACTGTACAGTAACACAAAATTTGCATGACTGAGATTTCTTGCAAAATCGAATCGCCATCAGAAATAATAACTTTAACCTTGCCCTCCCGCCCCTCCACTACCCACCCCAAACCCTCACAGTACCATTTTTGGGCATAATGTTTCTCGACGTTTAACTATATCAGTGTATCTTCTTTTTTATTACCTGTGTAGAAGGGAACAATACTAAAGGGATGGCACGTGGTCGTAAAGGGAAAAAATCTCGCCCAAGGCTATGATTATTATCTAACAGCATTAACATTTATGGTCTTTTCGAAATGATAGAACTATTACTTCCGACACTGAACCCCGGCATCTTTCGCGAAGAGACTCGCGGAGCTAGACACATCTGTTTTTATTTAACCCTTACTGGCCCCGTGTTATATCTCACCACCACAAGCACGTCCGATGTCAGACCCCCATTAGATTCATCATAGGAAAACAAATCGATAGAATTTAAAGCCACTATCGATAAGACAGGGAAAAAAGTGTTTCACAAGATGTGTCGTGGTTCTAGGATTAGAACCACTTAACCTCTGGATTTGATGTAGGTTTGTTTTAATTTATAAGTTTTATTCTAGAGGACCCTGGCAGGCATCATCTTAGGGGTTCTTTCGTCCTTTTCTCGAGAACCGCTAGAAAGACTATTGTCTTCTGAAACTCTAAAAGGACAATTATGTGAATCACGTTACGATGGTGGCTCSATAATCGAATTAAGAGCGCGAAGGAAGTGCTGAAATTTTTAAAGTGTCAAGAACGTCTGGGTTTTGTATCAACAGAAGAAATTCAAAGCTGAATTCCTCGGTGACAAATGAAGACAAGACGTGCAAGACAAACAAATAATATAGATTGGATAGGATTCTTCCGTTGACGATATTAAAACTCGACTAAACGATTACGACAAGCCTAGCATTTCGCACACTATCTTCGTGTAAAACTGTTCGCGTGACGAGTAATTCATTTATTAACCATTTGACGCTTAAATTTAACGATTATTCGGCGTGAAATTCATGTAAAGTAACTGGAAGTAAGTGTCTTTTAGTTTAAAACTACGAGTCTTTATTGAATTTAAATAAGTTATTCATTAATGCAAAGTCGACTGTATCCATGAGCAATTGCTACACAGTAGATGAGAAACACTTAAAATTTTTACATATCAAAATAAGTGAAATATGATAAAATTAATATTCTTTCGTTCGTTATGGGTTTTTTTAACTCCAAGAAATTCGCTGTTTAGTCTACTTCTAAGCAAAAATATTTTCAGTCCATGAATCGTAAGTATACAAAAATAAGTTTGTGTACAGTGAAAATATTTTGTGTTTTGATTCACTCTTAAGTTTCCAATAATCAAGGTTAATAACATAATTGAGTGTATACAAACTAAAAAAAGCTATTCCTTATAGTTTTCAATGGTTTTATAGTTCTAGTTGATGTGCCACTGTGCTTTTGAAGACGGTTAAAAACGTGTGCCAAGTCAGGACTCACTTGAACTATGTTGTCACAGGAACAGTAAGACAAAAGAAAAACAGTTACCGACTCAACTTCGAAAGGAATAGTCGCTGTAATGATATAATTATCGTCTGTGTTTGGATAACAAGGTACTTTAGAACTACAGTAACGATATACTAGACAAATTATCACTCACCTGGAATGCCACTAGCGAGGTTGCCATTGAAAGAGAAGCAGTTTGTGTGGAGTTTTTCCCGCTACAATCCATTTTCACGAAGCCCAGCCGTTTGCTTGAGGAAAAAGGTGAATTGGAGTCTTTATTTCATGACTTTACAGTCAGCATTCCCATCTGTTTACACCGTATATATTGTGTATTTTAGCTAACTTTTGATTGACATTTTAATCGCTTCGCTCCAATCTGTCACTCGAARGACGTCGATAATATTAACAAACTGATAACAAGTGCTCGTGGACCAATCAGAGGCCAGCACCAGGCTAATAACTGATGCCTACTGGTATTAAGACCAAGGGATTGACCAATCACGAGAGGATATTAGCCGGAACACTATTAATACTCTTCTTAAGGGAGGGTTAAAGTTGAAGCTGTGAGTGTTGTAGAGATATGTTATCCTGTAACAACATTCAATCTTATCGCTTAGAGTCAGTGTGAGAATAACTTCGCTTTCCTGAAACCGAATCTCCTCAGGAATGTAACCTCTGTTGCCATAGAATCTACAGCAACGTTTCTAATTTATATTCTATGCGATTCAACTGCTGCAAATAAGTTTTATTTATTACTTCTTTACTATTTTTTCTTTCTTTCCTTACAAACACATCTACTAATGATTAAAGGGCCACAAGTTTATTAGTGTAGTACACTATTTAGTGTCACCCTCATTAAATAAAGTTGTTATTATTATTATTATTATTATTATTATTATTATTATTATTATTAAAGTCACCAGCGAATCCCCTCCCCCTGGGGAATGATATCGACCCCTTTCCGCACAGCAGTTCTTTGGCCAATCCCAAACATCGAATTGAGGCTACTACGAGGCCGAAGTTTTGCATGGGAACTAGTCCAATGCGTACAATTAAAAGAGCAAAACAACCTCACCCTATCCTCCCATTATGTTACCTAATGCCCCTTGAAATACTTATTTTGGTTGGCCAATGGTCAGTTGTATATACTCAACATTTATCTTTATACATTATTGCTTGGGCACATTCTGGGTGTCAACAACACAGTTTCAGTTTACTCGACCATTATTTTGGTTTTACCCTACGCATATCTACATATATTACTGTTTTGGTGTCCATATATTGATGTATCATTTTCTGGGTACCTATGGGTGTTTAGCTTATACTCTACGCATGCTCTCTTCATATATTACTGTTTTGGTGTTCATATATCAGGGCTTATCACATTATGGGTGTCAACACCACTTTCAGTTTTCTCGGCCATTGGTTATAATCAACGCATGTCTTCATTAATTACAGCCTGTGGGTATACATATTTGGGTGTATCACATTCTGGGTGTCAACTGACACCACTTTCAATTTTCTCGACCATTGGTTATAGTCAACGCATATCTTCATAAATTACTGTCTGGGTGTATATATTTGGGCTTATCAAATTGTGGGTATCGACACTACTTTCAGTTTTCTCGACCATTGGTTATAGTCAATAGTCTTATAGTCTTCATAAATTACTGTTTGGGTGTATACATATTTGGGTGTATCACTCTGGGTGTCTATACCACTGTCATTTTTTCGACCATTGGTTTATACTCGACACAAATATCCGCTGAAGTGCTAGTGGTGTCTACACGTTCTGGTCGGTTATTCGTCGTATCGAAGAAAAGTAAAAGCAAAGCACAGAATCCACTCACAATAACAGATATACCACTGAAGCAAAACCCAGGAGAATAGGTACCAAAAGTATCGACCAGAAAACCTGCAAAAACGGTGAAAAGAAATTAGGGTTTTTTACGTTGTTTGCCAATCACACGCGTAAAGCCGCACAAATTGACAAAAGACACATTATAAGGTTTTGGTGGACGTAAATCAAGGCGTTTCAATAGACCTTCTCCGAGATAGCAAACGCGGTGCATTGTGGTCTAGCTTGGGTACAAAAATCTTTTGTTCATTATGCCTTATATGATTTTGTTCGTACCCAAGGTAGACCACAATGCATCTTGTTTATCGAACTCAGAAAAGGCTTATGACATACTATAGGCACATGCCTTTCAAATCTTTGAGTCTTTCGACAATGTCAATCCAATATCAATATAGATTTTCATTAGCCCATAAGTGATAGGATACACTGATAAATTAAAACCTAGCCTGGCACTGGAAAATTTGATTGATTTGAGACGTTGGAAATAGGTTGGACTAAAATATGTTTAAAGATACGTTGGAAGATTTGGACACCTCCGTGATATGAACTACGTTGGAAATTGGAAACATGTTGGAAGTGAATGTTGAAAAAACTGAATATGTTGGAAGTCATGGAGTGATCTTAAATTGGAAATTATGTTGGAAAAATCGTGGACTATATTTTGAAAGTTCCATGGAAATTAGGAAATATAATGGGCTTCCTGTGGATAAGCTACTTACCTATAAAAGGAGGAGAAGCTGCAAAAGGAACAGCAGTCAAAGATAAAAACACACCATAGGCCAAGCTACGTTGTCTTCTTGAGACGGAATTCAAAAGCAATATTCCTAAAACCACGCAAAGTAGACCTTCGCTAAATCCATAAAAAACAGAAAATATAACGAGTTGAATGTAACTAGTTGTGTGAGATAGAAGAATTATTGAACTGCCTGCTATGGTGGTTCCTGTGAAGACGAAAAAGACAGGGTTTATTGGGATGATATCACAGATATAACCAGATGATGATCTACTGATTGTGGAGAAGACTCCAATGTAGAAATACAGTATCGATGCATCGTTAGCAGATATGTTGAGGGTCCCACTAAATTCCACCTAAAAAGAAATAGATAGATTATCATAAGAAATGCATCCATGAATTAAAGATCTATATGGGTATTTTGGCAGGTGGGTAGGTAGGTAGGTATTGGTATGCAGGAAGGAAGCGAGGGAGCAAGGGGGCGAGGGAGAGAGGGAGGGAGAGAAAGAAGGAGGGAGGGAGGGATGGTAGGCCGAGGTAGGTAGGGAGGGAGGAAGTTAGATTCCAGGGTGGGTGCAGGGAAGGAAAGAAGGTTGGTTGGGAATTAATGGGTAATAGACAAACTATAGGAAGGTGGGAAGGGAGGGAGGTAGTAGGGAGGCGGCTAGCAAGCGACGATGGGAGGAAGAGACGAAAGTGGTGCGTGCCAACTTACCAGATAAACTTGCACATTATGGAGCCCAAGGAAAAGTATAAAACTGGTGACAAGAAGGACATTGTATCGCTTGTTCCTGAATATAGAAGTGTCAAACCCATCACCTGAGACTTCGATTTGGTTCAGCGACACGTTCGATTCTCCTACTTCCTTTAATGTCTTGGAATCAAACGCACAGCACAGTAAACTAGTAAAACCGGTTATTCCAGCTAGCACGAGGAAGGTCTTTCTCCAACCAAATCCATCAACCAGAAACTGCATAGTAGGAGCCATCACCATGACACCCCCACCAGGCCCCAAGGAAATCATTCCGACGGCAAGGGACCTTCTTTTCTGGAACACTCTCGGGACGATGACAAAACATGCCGTGTAGACACAACAGCAGCCAAATCCAACCACTAGACTAAAGCTTATAAACATGGTATAGATGCTTGGAGCCTGGGACGTGAGTAGAAGACCAAGTACGCAGAGAACGGCTCCAGAAATGGCGGTCAATCGGCAGCCATAACGGTTACAAAGATTCGCTGCCACAGGTCCACATAAAAACGTAGTAGCCGAAAACGTAGAGCCAACCCATGCTAAGAGAGAAGAGTAAAAGACTGTTATAGGCACTTTTATTGAGGATTGGACCGTATAAAGTCATCGCGGCCATATTGGATGTCATCCAATATGACGGATCACATTTACCATATAAATATTTCTTTTGGGACAGCTTGTCCTTCAAGAATTGTTTTCATTTTATTTTATTTTTTCATTTTTTTTCATTTTATTTCATTTATTTTATTTTTTTGGTTAATGTTTTTTGCTTCTAGTTTTTTAGTTTTCCTTTGATAATTTTAAAAATAACTAGTTTCTTTGGATTTGAAGACTGAAGCCCCGTCCACACTATGCTGGATAAATTTGAATCCGCAACTTTCACACCGAAACCGAAAAAAACGTTTTCCGTCCACAAATGAAAACGGATAAAATGTTTCGCGTCCACACTAGTCCCATCAGAGGCGGCAAAAACGCTTGATTGCACATCTGAGCATGTGCATCGAAGCTGAAATTGAGCCTGCGGTGAATTTTTAGCCTTCCCGCCATGTTCCCATGACAATCATGACGTCATCGTATTCGAAAAATTTCGGATACGAAATGTTCTCCGTCCACACTAATACGGCTAGCCGGTATTTTCAAATTGTTCCACTCTGGAGACCGTATTCAAAAAAAATCGTTTTCGGTGAAGAATTGTTCCGGATTCGTCCGGACTAGTGTGGACGGTAGGCCTAACCGAATAAATAAAAATTCGGATTCAAATTTTTCCGGCATAGTGTAGACGGGGCATGAGCTCATCCGAGTCAGCCGCATCAAAAAACGACAACCGCTACAAACAAAGTTTCCTTTCAACTTTTCGTTCATTTTTTTTTTTCTTTTTTTTTTTAGTATTTAAAAACATACTATGCTGAACGAGCTACAAAGGCTGCTAAATGCCTTGTGTGATTTAAACCTTAAAATGGAGAAGCTAAATCACAGCTTAAATCAAATGATATCTACGTAGAATATATATATATAAAGAAGAGATAACTAGCTAAAAACTAGTGTGAGCTGCGTCGATGTTTTTAATGAAACAGTAATGATAAAAGGGTAAATTTTACACCGTGAAAAGATGAAAGAACTTACTGACGTTTTGGAAGCTCTATATATAAAGCTTTTAGGAAGCGCCGTAAGAACTTAAGAAGTGTGAGAAGCACTCGCCTATACTCGAGCTTCTCCTTACACTTCTTTCGTGCTTGCGCCACTTCCAGCGTGAACGGAGCATGGAAAAAGCTGTTTTTAATTTCTTAACTAGATGTTGAATATGAGCGATGCAGATCGATAGAAACACGACAATAACAGGTTGGTAGCTATTAACGACACCTAACGAAAAAGAAACTATAAATTCAAACTTAAATTCAACTAAAAAACAGACAAACATCAATTTGAGTGTTTTGTCAATTCTTGGAAAATCAAATTAAAAGCATTGATTTTTCTATAAGAAATCCAAGGCTTTTTTATTAGTCCAAAAGAAAAATGTTATTAATGTAAAAAAAGAAATGTTTATGTTTAGATTCCTAGTACCTGTTGTTGCTCTATCCATCTTGAAATATTCCAATAAAACAGGGAAAAGAATACCATAACTGTAAGAAAGTCCAATCACGATGATGTTAGATATCGCTGCACAGAAACATATCACCCAAGACCAGCAAGAATCTTGCTCATTCTCTCGAGATTTCAGTCGTACTGCAACACAGCTTGGCTTTGAACTGCACCGACATGGAATATCTTCATTACATTTCACCACGACGTTCTTCATGTCGGCTTTGACTGTTCGGTTGTGATACTGTATTGTTTTAAAAAGACTATCAACCTTAGAGCATTTTGCAACAGACTGTTGGCCTAAATCGTAGGCGGAGATAAAACTTAAACTCATGTTTCGAAATTTGGGCATCTTCTCTGCGGCATCACTCCTGTTTTACCAGTTTTCACTCGGTCGTTTGGCTATTAATATATTTCTCATTACTAAATAAAATCAAGGTAGAGATTTCTCATGTATGTATCTGGACACAACCCCTTCTCTCAACATCGGCATTTCTTTGTCAGTAAAGCAAGAATAAGGAAACTAATAAGCGATGAATAGCGGCTTGTGATTTAGTCGTCTCAAATCCGGCAGTGTCCGTTAGTGAAACTAAGGATGATTTCGCGGGAAGGTTTTGACCACGTTAATTCAGTGGTTGTGGTCACTTTGTGGTAAAAACAAGTTGTTCAGTTAAATACTAGTTCTAAACAACGTAGCCTGAAAAAGTCTGAAAACGGTTATTCACTAACTTTTGCTCAAAAAACCGCTAGAAAATAGAATACAAAGACCATAGTGATACAGAATGTATTATGATAAGAAAATTGTGTTTACAAGCCATGAAGGAAAAGACCGATAAAAGGACAAATTATCAGGAACTAGAGGCTTTGTACCATCACGTGATGTCAGCAATGACAGCAGGCATAACAATAGAGTATTTTTTCCCTGGGAAACTGAATCCATTCTAATGTAAATCAGATTATACCAGAATCAATTGTTCCTGCCCCCTGTCATGAATGCCATCACGCGATGGTGCAAAGCCTCTATAGTGAAATATATTTTGTTATTCGTGGCATCAGCCGGTTGCGATTTCGATGTTAAAATTAAATCCCAACAGAACTGTTCYTTATTTTGATATTATTATTATTAATTTAAATTTTTTTAAACTGAAGCTGTTCGGTTAATTCCTCACAAAAGCAAATAAAAATAACTTGGTTTAGGAAAACGAAAAAATAATGGCGTTTATGTTTTGATTCAGGCTAGGTGAATGTTTGGTGCAGGTGACCGCTGACCTGCTGATACCATACCACCTATTTGGTGTCCAGCTGCGTTGATTGGTGAACGAAAAACAAGCCAAGGAGGATACAAGTGAAAAACGTCCGCGCATGCTCTGAATCCGTATGCAAATTAGTCACATGAGTAAATTTGACTTTCAAACATGCCTGATAAATTGGACTTCACAAAATGCCAAAACTTAGTGTCCATGCTTGAAACTTAAGGCTAATTCTTTCATATTGTGTTTGTTAATACAGTAGCTTGGTCTGACAAAAGTATACTCTCGAAATTTTTTGTATACTTGGAGAAAACAAACATTTATTTTCTCACTCAAACTCTTCAAAATTCTTAGAAAACGTGCTGAAATGCACACATGCGCAAACGTTTTTCTCTAGTGTCGCCAAGGAGATTTGCAAACACCTACGTTGTAGATAGACTGACCCGAAATTATTGGTATTTTTTTTTGGTAAGATTCTTGTGGATGGCCATCATTTTTATATAGTGGATGGTGGATGGCACACCTACTATCGTTTCGATTGGCTAATCGGCGTGCTTTGATGGAATTAAATAATACGGTAGCTAAATTCGTCATTAATCTCGTACCCAGATCCCTTGCGCAGTAAAAAATAAGAGGTTTGGGTACGAGATTGTATCTGTCATTACAATTACATTCACATTGAAGGAAACTGAAAAAATCGGAATAAAAGCAAGATAATTGATCTTTTAAGTAAAATGTTCCACTAAGGAAGAGTATGTCCTCATCTATTTATTTTTCACTTTGATTTATTTGAAGTGAATCCAAATATTTGTCGAGGAAGGACGTGAAAAAGCAAAGTGTCAGCAAAAGACGGGAAATATTGAGAAATCAATTACGATCGATTACTTTAAAAGCACCTGATTTTTTACAGACAAGATTTGACTAGATTGTCAGAAGAATGAGTCAGAATTGGCAGTCATCTGTTTTTTAGTGAGTTTTATGGTCGTAGTCGGGGTCTTTCGAAATGTTTTTTTCTTATTTGAAGCAGTTCGTAGACTTTTTTCTGGCCTTAAGGTTGTCGCCTGAGAGTTTGGCAATACGAAGGAGAATTATCTTTATCCAAAATGTTCTCTAATTGTCACTGAATGTCTGTGCATTCTATATACTTTAATTAACCTATAGATAAACTTTATCAAGGAATAACTAGCTAGTAATGGGAGTAGAATGAAGCTTGAGATGCGAAAAAAGAACCCGAGAAAAACACCGTGAGAAGCATCCCACAGTCTTTCTTTTACAATTCTCTCTTAGATTTTCCCTCCAAACCAAAACTCTGTCGTCGAGTCTTCATCCGCCGTACACCTGAACTGACGGCTAATTCTCATATAGTATCCGAAACTTTCCTCATAAAGACTAGAGTCTGGTGTAGCCACAAGATCACATCTTTTACTCTGTCCATAACATGCAGCCACAAGGAACATACGGGACCTAAAACCCTGGTGTATCCACGTGGTACAGTTAGAGCAATGAGATCCCCGGATGTCGATGTAGGTGAATCTGTGGCAGCCGCTGCCGTCGAAGGAGAGTAGATCAATGTCTGTCCATCTCGCTACTGCATAGTCGCGCTTGTCTATGCCGTATGTGGAGTAGCTGCAGGAAGCTCTCCAGGAGTCCGAAGAAGAGCGAATGGAGTACATTCTAGAAAGCGAGAGCCTGTAGAAGGACCAGTTTGGATTGTCTTCATCCAAAGGGTTATCCACAAAGAATGGAGTTGAATTGAATTCGGTATTGTACTGCAAGGCATATGACAGGACCAGCGTCCAGGCGGACAAGAGTGCAACATCCATGTCACAGTAGACAGAAAATATGGTATCATTACCATCAAATACCAGGTAAATACCGGATGAATAGTTTTGCTTGAAACGAAGGTAATCCTGGCATGACCGAGCCTTCTTGTCACACTGGTTACCAAGGTAACCGTCTTGACATTCACAAGTAAACTCGATGTAGTGTTTACAGTTGCAATCCTTGAAGTAATGCGGCTGGAAAAAAGGTAAAAGACAGTAGTACAATAGCCGTTTATATTCGGATAATTGTAAGGTTTACCCTAATTTTTAAAGGTTTCGTTAACTCACGATAACATGGAGTGTGGTGAGGTGTTGCGGACAAGTAAAAAAAGGTTGGCTCGAGATTCCGAGTCTGCCTTCTGTGTCATGGGATATATGTTGAGTTGTATTTGGTGGGATGGATTAAGTGATAAAAGGGCATATATATATCTCTTCCTCACCACTCATGCGTGAATGACCCAAAGAAAGGGGTGAAAGGAGGGGGGATAGATCAGGACAAGGCAGAGCAGAGCAGAGCAGGGCAGGGCAGGGCAGGGCAAGGCATAGTAAACTAGCCGAATAGAGCTGAGCTTCTGAACATAGAGAAAGGAGAGAAGAGTAGAGGAGACGAGGAGACCATTTCACATTTCATGTTACCTTGGGTAGCATTCTACTGTTCACTTCGTAGTAATCTCTTCCAACGTTAGCTTCGAGAGCATGACGATCAACATCCTTGTTCCGGTCATTCAGCTCACACCAAAACCCACTGTCCTCTCTCTTCCAAATATTAAAAGACTTGCACACCACGTTGCTATAGACACACATGTGAAAACACTGCCCAACGTCCGCTACTGCTGAGGTAGAAATCACGTGCCCATGCAAGACGTGATTGGCTATTACATCTTCCAATGATAGCGTAGCCCTGCACGGACAACCTGAAGACTGGACAACGCGATTGTAGACTGACAAGATATACACTGCGATGTACGAAGAAATGAGAAGGGAATGCTTCATTTTGGCGCCGGAATCATTAGTTTGGATCGTCTGGTTGGCTAATCGATAACTGAGAGTGGATAAAAATGAAATAATTGGTGAACAATCAAATGGAAAAGACCTATTAACAATTTTTCTTCTCTTATGGTAAAATAAACCAAAAATGTGGGGGCCATGTTTGAAGAACTTAACAAAAGATTTGTCAATGCATTCTTTTGTTATATCCCCCAACATGGCCGCCGTGTCTTTTGTTATTTAATTCTCTTGGGAATGGTTGAAAACCATCAATTCGATAGCTTTGATTAATCGATTCTCTGTGTAACTACTATATTTTACGACATAACGGTAATTTAGTGCGAAGGCACGTTCAGGCACAAGGGTTGTCAAGATAATTGCAAAAGCCAGACAAGTTTGCTTATCTAAAGTGAGCGTTTTAGAAAATTTTTCAATTGTTTTAATTTTATTAAATTGTACATTTTGGTTCGTAGTACAAAACAAAAACATTGAAATTACATGGATATTAACGCAAGAATACGACAGAATTTGCCGAACAAAGTTGGAAATGTTTCGATTACATAATAACCAAATATCAAAACTGTCAATCAAAGTAGGGGAATGAAAATCAATTCTACTTTTCAATTTTATCAAGGAATTTCACACCAGATGTACGAAAACACCCTCTGGGCAAGGATGACCTGTTGTTTCCTTGGCAATGGTCTTGGTTAGGTCAGTACGTGTAATTCAAAAATATTGATTCAAAGAAATTTCAAGTAAAAAACTTAAAGTGCCTTTCGTGACCCCTAACTCAATATCTTCACGTATTGATTTTACATCAAGTAATAGTTAAATGGCTAAAAACATTTTTTAAGATTTAAAAAATATCAATAATATAAGGCAAAAACTAATCATAATGTATAAATAAACGAATAACTATATAAAAAGAATAAATGCATGTGACATTTTATTTCGATTATTCAACATTAATATTTCCCCTGCTTTTTCAACACACTTCAACTTCACTTCTAGATTAGATTTTTATTTGAAGCTTTGCTTTCTTTTTCTTCTTTTTTTTTTAGTTACTTTTTCTTTACTTGCTTTTTTTTTTCTTCCTTTCCTCGTTCTTCATTCTTCTCTCCTTTTCCCTTTCATTAACTTCCTAATTTCTCTCGCTTTCTTTTTTTCTTTTCTTTTATTTGCGACACAACTGTATGGGAAAAAAATTTACGCAGAGATCGATTAATGAACCCTTTTTAAAATTGTCTTGGATTCAGTTGAGGCCAACATGGAAATACAAAATAAATGCAACAAATTCCATCGAGAAAAAATCTGATTTCTTTTATATTTTCATGTTAGCACCACCTTCAAGATAATTTTGAGAAGGCTTCACTCCTTAATTGTTCTTACCTAAGGTCCAGGAAACAAAAGATTGAAGATATCCAGCACCCTTGTGAAACTCCGCCAAATTTTCCGGTGTAGTGAAGTTCCAAAATCCTCAGGAATGATCGACAAAGTATTAGAAACAGTAAAAGTCTGCTGATTCTATACTAACATGGAAGTAATATACTTTATTTTATCGGCCGTGAATGATTTCATCTGCTTCATCGTCAGCTAAAGAAGGAAGTCTTCCAATTATGGCCATTTATCTTAAAAAGAAAAAAAAAAAATCTAAACGTGTCAAAACGAACGTTTTACTGTCGGAAGAACACGTCATCTCAGGCCTTCAACATTCGTTCACGACTCACCAAATGAAAGCACGGCAATCCGCCGGTAAATGGTTGTTTAGAGTGTTGTATACGCGTCGGGACATTCTGTCTTTGTTTGTCCTCTTGAATCCAAACTACTCTTCTAATGAATCAAGCGGTATTGTATAAGGGCGGGAAAATTCTTCGACGCGTCTGGTTCTGGTGACTGTGGCACGTAGAGATGCCCCGCATGAGAGGAGCTTGGGAAGGTTGGTCAATTTTGACCGCCAATTTTCGTTGTCAAAAAGTCAAAGCGTAGCATTCTAATAACGCTTTAGAAGATGATCGGTGATCATTATTACATACACGTTCTGTAAACGTTGCCAAACTGGAACCAATTAAAGTGTCATAGAATGAAGGCATTTAACCCGTGAAATAGATATTGGACTAATACACATTAGTAGACCCTAATTTCATTGTTTTCTTTTGTCTATTTGACTATTACACGTTGACTAATAATTTTTATTTCACGGGTTAAATGCCTTCACTCTAACTGAAGCTGACGAGTGCGTGCATAACTCGTTATGTTTATGACCTTATCCAGCTTTTTTTATTTATTTATATAAATTTTTCAGTGATCTAGCTTGCAATATTTTAGTGTTGTTGGAAAAGTTTGAAGCACAGAATATAACGTATAAAGTGGTTTTCATTAACCAGTACACTTTGTTTCCCGGGTTAATGAAAACCACTCAAGTATTTTTGCTTGCATTATAAAAATTAACCCAAGTTATTTTGTCTAATATTCATTTATTTTCTATTAAGATAAAGTAAGCTTCAAATGAGCCACGAGTAAGATAAACAAGCCACAAACAATCAGTTCTATTTATCTTTTCACTAACTTTATTTAAGAATCAATGTTTTTGCTACAAAGCTTACCAGTTGTTTCCACTTAATTTAAATAGTTTTACAACTTCTTAAATTACTCTAATATTATCCGTTATGCTTCTAATTATATTTAGTCGGGTCCTCTAATACAAGCTTTAAGAAAGTGGGGAATTTGTTATTTGAACGTTTCTTCCATATTATTTCAGTATTACTTGTATTCTTTGATTGTACGTTACGTCATCGCCGCCATGTTGGTGCCATTTAACAAGACTTCTAATTAACATCCCGCATTGTCAACGGCACCACAATGGCCGCCATGTTTTGTCTTTTGACTCTCTTGGGAATGCTTGCAACCCATCAATTAGTAAAAGCAGTATTAACTTACTTCCTTAAAGTATTGCAACCCTTTCTATTATATTCTATGCATTCCATTGCAGTCACACAACGTTTTCTTCTCAATAGGTCTCTTAACCTTGGGTGTAATGTTTTCCCATTTCAGACCACGTGTCATTCCCTAGAGCATCATTTCTTTGTTAAATGGTTGCACATGAGAAGACACAGAAACAAAGGATATTATTCTCAAGAGAGTGACACATGGTCTGAAATGGGAAAACATTACGTCCAAGATAAAAAAAAAGAAAGAGGTTTACTCCCATTTCTTTTACATGCGGTTTATAACCTAAATTACTCGATTTAAGAGCAATACATAACTTAACGTAAATATTTTTTAAGTCTTAAATATCATGTTACAGTAGGTCTTCAAAGACTGTTTTAGCCTTTGAAAAATTTCTTACTTATGACTACGTTGATCTAATGTTAAAATTGAAGGAGGTATAACAGTAGGAATTTCTAGACTTAATGGCATAACATCTGGATAGAGTTTGTTAGGTATCTCCCTTGATTTGTGGATTTTCTCCATTTTCTCTGGAATCTCTCACTCAAAAAACCCATTTCACCATTTTCCATACATTGGTTCACTGGTCAAACACAAAGCATTCAGTCGAGGTTGCAAGGTTCAAAGTTGAATAATCCTTTGAAAGTACCTTGGCGCCTCGCTTGAGCGTTTTGTGTTTGACCAGTGAACCAATGTATGGAAAAATGGTGAATATGCTAAATTCCAATTCCATCTTTGAGTCAACCATGCCTCAAACCAAAAGATGTTTGAGGGTTCCACAATTTAAATATGCTCATTTTTTGTTTTGTTTTTGAGAATAATATTATCCCTGTTAAGATAACTGGCTCATACTTGCTTCAAAATCCCATAAAATTTATCAGCATTTTGTTACTAACGTTGTTATATGTATGTGCCTTCTCATTTTGAGAAGAAAAAAACAATTTGAAAATAGGCTGCCACAGGCAACCCAGTAATAAATCTAAATTTACCCTGACTTTTTAGCTGTTAAACAACAAAGAATATTGAGGGGAATGAAGACTGCTATTATTTGAAATACGTAAGTAATGTTTCACTCTATATTTTATGACATTAATATAATTACATTTATACAAACTATAGTAGTTACAGCAAAACCCTAAGTTTATACTGTACATGACCATCTTTTGAAGTGTTCACATAAATAATTTGTACCGTAAATGGTATTTGATGCACAACATTTTCGTTCCAAATGAGTAGCCTCAATATTGTCTTATTTGGTCAAACGCTAGAGCAAAGACAATATCCAAATTTATGGTTTATGGCCTCTTTGTTTAATTCCTGATATGTATTGATTTGTAATGTCGTACACTAAATTTGACAAAACATTTCCTTATGTCAAAAGGAAAACCTTGTGTTTGAAGCAGACAGGGTTTAGTTGAGTAAATTTCTAAAGATGCTAAATAGATGACAAGACTCTAAATAAATCTTAGTTTGGAATTGAACATTTTCTTTGAACACGATGAAACAATAGACTTGGAGAATCAATAGATTCGATTTTACAACAAAATTTAAAGTCTACAGTCTACTTGCGTCAGACACCACAAAATTATTAAAACCATTTTTTAAATTTTTCCTCCAACATAACCGAAGATATATATATATTGGTGATTAACTTCTTTCAGTTGAGAAAATAAAATACTCAGAATATTGGAAGCTTGATAAAAAGGAAGCCAAAAAAATCAGGAAATTTCAAATTATGTGAATATTCTGCACAAAATGAACTACTTCAGCAATACAGCACAGAAAAAAAAAACAGATTCCCAAATTGGGAATTTGATGGGAATTTCCTTGAATTCCCAACAAATTCCCATCCAATTCCCAGAGAGAATGAAATTGGGAATGTGACACCATACTGATACCCAATGTTAGTTTGTTGTGAATTTTGTTTTTCTATTGGGTATTAGAAGGAAATTCCCAACAATTCCCAATATGGGAATCTGGTTTTTTTTCCTGTGCAGTGGTCATCTTGAATCACAAGGCATTATAGGGCTACCAGAGGGCAAATAAAGCTTTGTTACAGTAATGACATTGATTGATATTAAAAGCTCACCACAAGAGAAAACAACAAAGTAAGATGAATTAAGACAGCACATCAATCACATTTTATCCATAAAAAAAGATAAACACATGAAACGGTATATATTTTTTGTCATCTTAGTTTTGTTTTGCCCCCTTGCAAGATGACTGCCGTATTGTCAAAGAAAAGTAGTCCATTAAAGCTAGTTCTGAACAATAGAGAAATTGAAACTGGAGTATTAAGAATATCCAGTCGAGTTAATGTCAGACTTTAGATTCTTGATGTATGCTAGAACCATGTTCAACATAAGTCACTGCGATATAGGGTTCAAAAATCTACCAGTTTGAGAATATTGACAAAAACACATTTATGCATGGGCAGTCTTTTGCTTTTGTTTTGGCAAGAACTTTTGCAAACCCTTATACCATTCTTCATTTTTCTTCTGAAGACTTTTGACATATAAGGCTGAAATCCGCTTCTCAACCTTCTCTTTGTATGTAGTTGAAAGGAAAATAGAAAATTTGATAGCGTAAAGCTTGTCATATTGTTCCAAGAGAGAGAAAAGAAAGGCCATATCTCCCTTGACGTTCAAATCATTATCAACAAACTCAATCCCTGAATACAAATTAAATCTCTCGCTGTTCTTAACACTCCAAATAAAGGAGTAAGCAGAGGTCAAAAAGTAGACTCCCAATGGTATGGCAAAGATAAAAGTAAAAGCTCTATAATATGGAGCAATAAAGCGAGAGCAGAGAAAATACTGATACTTCATGGTGAATAACTGTTTCAGTCGACAGTCAAGGTTATCACTTAAAGCACCATAGAAGTATGAAATAAAAATTAAAATACCCAAACTATACAATACTTGGATAACCCCTCTAAATACATAAACCTTCATAAGTGTGTGAGCTCCCTCATGCCAGTTTTTGAAATTTTCTACTCTCTCATACAGTGTTTTTACCTTTATGGCTTCTGACATGTCAAATGGGAGGGTTGCTACATCCTGCTTTGCTTTGACTTGAGGTGTCTGACTTCCCGATGGTTCATCAGCTGGTTTGGGTGTTTTACCAGGATCGATGAAAGCCATCTCTATGTCTTCGACATTTGGTTCTTTAGGCGATGTTTCCTTTGTTGTAGTTGCTGGTGAACCTTTCCTTTTCTCGGAATTTGAGATCACTTCTATAATGTCTGAAAGAGTTCCCACAGACTTGTAACAGTCTGTCACCAAGGAAACAAAGTGATTCAGTGTTGCAGATGTCTTGGGGTACATGATCCAGAAATTATCAATGACAAGAAGAATCAATGCTTCAACAACAAGGATGAAAGGAAAATATGCAGGATACCACTTCAGGTTTTTTTGAAAGCACTCTGAATCCACATAGGCATACGATCGATAGTCACTCATCACAGTCATGACTGTTGTGGTGGTGTCGTTGTTGATAACATGATACTGCACTTGGTCGCATACATCACTTTTTAGCTTTAAGGCTGTTGGTGTACGAGGACTAATAGACCTGGTACAGTCAACAGCAGGTATACAAACCAAGTTGTCCTTTGCAGCTTGTATGGCAGTCGCYGTCAAGGCAATGGTCATTATTGCCCCAGTAAGATATCGACATAGTACATCCCACCAAGGGGTTAGTATCTTAAGAGCGGCATCGGGTTGGGGTGTCTGTCCTAAGACAATCATGGTTCTCTAATTCCTTCACAGCTCTTAAAAAGTATATTTTCCTAAAAAATTACAAAATAAATTTCAATTCATTTTTGTAAACTGAGCTTATTTTACAGGTAGGTGAAGGTTTTATTGCATACCAAGTTTGAAATATATGGAGATTACCCTTTTGATTGACGTCCACCAAAACTCAATCTTTCATTTGTGATTTAGATATCAGTTGGTCACGTGTGACTGGGAATCGCAGTAACATGTAAATAATGTCAGCAGAGAAGAAAACATAGCAGAAAGTCTGGGAAAATTCAATGTAGGAGTGACCTTTTGGTGATTGCATTCATGATTCCCCATCACATTTCAGGCTTCATATGGAACATGCAACAAAACCTTTACTACCATTCTTTGAAATAGCTCTATACACCTTACAACTGATCAAGATAAAAAATCATTTTTGAACATTGGTAACGTATGAACTGCCATGTTTCTTCCTAGATTTTTCAGAAACAACAAATTTAATGAACCTTACTTTTATGTTTTTTTAATGAATAAAATTTTTATCGTAATTAATTAAATACCGATGTAAATTTTTTAATCATAGTCGATAAAGTAATAAGGTAATATTTTTTGATCAACTGTCATCGAATACCCCGAATAGACCAATAGTTAACAAATAAAAAATTCATAAAAAACATCTGCTTTAGAAGGATTTACTTTTCTTGCTTCTAAACCAATACCAAAATACGATTTATCTTCTACATTTAATATCAATCATTACTTTAGAGCTCAAACTAACACAAATCAAAGGATTTTTCGCAATAATTCTTAGCTGTGAATGATGATTTTAAAGCTTATGTTGGGTCCGAGCTGAAATAGTAAGGCAAGAGCATCCTGAATTCAAAGGTAAAGGACGTCTTGATCGCTTTAAAAGAATCTAAATATTTCATCTTTTCTCGAACTAGGTCAAAACCATATTGGAATAGAAACTCCCTTTAAACGACAGACACTAACTGGAAATGTTTTTAGACGTTATAGTCCACAATCTAATGATATAGTTTGAACCTGACGGAGTACAAGCTTATGGCTGCCATGGAAAAAATAGCCAAAACATTTGCTAAATAACGAAAAAATAAAATACAATTGCAAACGGAGAACACTATCATTAACAGGCTACTCAACTATGTGTTATTTTTATGGAAATTGGTTCTAGGGTAGTTTTTTTAACGGGGTAAAAAAATGGCTTACCTTTCACATACACCTTTGCATTCATAACCACTAAGAGTAGTAGACGTGCCACAGGGAACCCAGTCGTATCTAAGGCTAGGCGTGGCGTCTAGGTTGATATTGACACCTCCCATAAAAGGGATGGGCCGTAAAAGGAAGCTTAAATCCTCTCTCATTTACTATAAATTTTCATTTGAAAATTTCTTTCAAGATTATCTTGATCACTGTAAGGCAAACAGGAAACAAGAAATACCTCTAATGCAAACGAGAAGTTTGATTTTTCTTAACGAAGTAAAGTACTCAAACTACAGAGTACTAAATATGAGAAATAAATGATATTTAGTCTCAGTTTATGTTCTGTATTTTTCGATTGACATTATGTCATCACCAGCCTCTCATGGTTGCGTTGCTGCCATTTAACAAAAGATTTCTCATTAGCATCCATTGTTACATTGTTACATCCATACTCCACTT